AGGGCAACCTTAAAATAGTTTAAAGCCAGTTTTGTTACAGTTTGTCCTTCTGATCAATGCAGATAGATAATAACATAAATAAATTAGTGGAGTTCCTAAATATATAAGAGTTTGCGAAAGATCCTATCATTTTTTGTAGCTTGTATAGTTGTCAAAGTTTTTTTTTCTTGAAAAATGTGAAATTTTGAGTTCCTAATCGAGTTAACTTCATACTATAAATAGATACTTCTTAGGCGCAGCAAAAGAAGGTGTTCAAGCTGCTGGAGAAGGAGTGTCCAATGTTGCCGGTATACTTCTCAAATCTTTTTGTTCCATTCCGTTCTAATTTACAAAATGCTGCCTCTTCTAGTGGGTGCTTACAATACGACAAAACACGGTGTTGAAGCAGTGGGTGTTGGAGTTGCAAAAGTAGCATGTGCGTTCTTTTTGTGTCCCTGAATCATTGTTTTTACGAAAAAAAAAGAAACTGAACAGTTTTTTTCTAGCAGGTGCATACGGAGCTGCTAAAGAGGGTGCCTCTGCTGTTGGAGAAGTTGTCAGTAAGTTTTTATTCTATTTTTGGACTATAACTTCGAGCGAACGGTAAATGATGACTTCAGGTGATGCTGCTAGCGGAGTTGGCCACGGAGTAGTAGCTGCTGGGGAAACTGTTGCTGAGGGAGCGGGTAATTTTCTACTACAATAATACCAAATTTATTTGTTTCCTCAAACAACTATCTCCAGGCAAAGCCGTAGGCGCTGTTAAAGAAGGCGCTGTTGCTGCTAAGGACACCGCCGGTTGGTTATTTTTATGAAGTCTCTACTTTATAATCTGTAATAATTAACATTTTCGAATGTATTATAGTGAATGTCGCTAGTGGAGCTGTGGAAGGAGTGAAACAAACGGGACAAGCTATTGGAAATGTTGCGGGTTTGTTGTATTCTAGTTCTGCCTTTTGATTTCTACAGAGGTGCGCCAAAGAATGCACCACTTTTGAGACATATGATACCATACTCGTCCGCTTTATCCATTTTTTTATTTAAAATTTTGTTAAAGATCTGTACGGAGAGATACTACTATAAGAGAACACGCAAAAGATTAAAACTGTAAACCTTTTTCGCTTTAATAATCTCTCAAAATGCTATTCCAAAAATGAGCGTATCACCTTTAAAGCAGTGAATAGATGCCAAGATAAAGTAAATTTCAGTTTGCATGATGAGACAGCGAAAACAAATGCTGAATTGATGTAAGAAGTGTATAAGGGCCACCAAATCTTTTATGAAAAGTTGTTTTTATAAAACTTAACGCATGCTGAGGAGAGATGAGAAGGGAAACATGTAAAAAGCACCTCTTTTAGTAACTTTAAAAACTGACCAGTCAACTTCAGGAGAAAATTATCCTATATTGAGTGTA